AATGGTATGCATTTTTTCCATCATCCATCCTCATCCTCTAGTTTCAGGGTCAACTCTAACTACGGAAGAACACTTCCACAGGCCAGAACCCTCATCTCTCTTTCAATTCAACTATTCAACAACCTAATATGTACTAAGAACATAAAGCCTGAGGGTGATATGGTATAACGAGAAGAAAAAAATTATTCCCAGCCCTTTAATATGTCCAAGTGTTTGACTTATCCTGGATAAGTTTTAGCATCTCACATCAAAACATTCTGAAGTCTCTATATAAAGTTTACATTGCAAAGGCAACATTTTTTGAAAATTAGAATTGTTCAATAATAAATATGTAGTATGTTTGTCAAAAATCAGAATGAAGATGGGGACCATGGAAAGCAAAACAATTGTAGCCATGAGCTGAGCAATTTCACAGACATCTTTTGATATAAATCATTTGCGAACAAATACATGAATTTTAATTTATCTGATTTCCAGAGATACAATTAAGTGCATATAAATTCAAGTATTTTGCCATTTGCGTGGAAAAACACAGAACTTTCAGAAGTCATTAGGCTAAACAGGTTACAAAAATAATTTTTCTTCTTTGAAATCACCAGTATGGATTCCGGATGCGGGCATGGCACTGCTTGGCAAGCCATGCTGTGGTAGGCGTCCCACATATAAAGTAGAGGAAGATGGGAACAGATGTTAGCTCAGGGCCAGTCTTCCTCAGCAAAAAGAGGAGGATTGGCAGCAGATGTTAGCTCAGGGCTAATCTTCCTCAAAAAAAAAAATATGCTGCCATATTTACTACTAATGATACGATCGGGTATTCAAAGAGACAGGATTTAACTTAGACTCCATTAATAATTTCTTCCATAGGTTTTGCAATTAGAGTTCGATGTTTCCTACTTCCTTTTGAAAGTGAGTAAAATGTTTACTGTTTTGTATTAAAACAACGTGAAATAAGCTAATACATTTAACTACGTAGGACAGTAGTTCAAGCATATAGCATAAAAATATTCTGATTTGAGAAACATTTGTGTTCTTTTCTTCACACATTCAGGTCCATATCTCAGGCTATTTTCCTATTTTGATACTGAAATTTTCTGAATACTTTCTTATTTTGCAGACTGATATACACTCAGGACCTGTAGCCTATACTTGCAAGTTTGTAAGTATAAAGTGTGGATATACAGAATAACAAGTCTCATGATCTTGACTAGGCTCACTAAAATCATGCTCTAAAGATTCATACACATCTAAAGCACATCAATAGGAAACTGATTAAACAAACTGTGGTTCATTCATTGATACAAGGGAATAAATGCAGCCATAAAAGAATATCTAGTTCCTTCTCTGTGGGGCTCTGCTGGTAGGTGGTGGCCTGTGTGTTGGGTGCAGTGCCTTGTAGGCTGGAGACGGGGAAGTCCTTGACCAGGTGCAGTGGCCCACATGGTCAGGAGCACCACGGCCATGGCCCAGGGGTCAGGGATGCTCAACTGGCTCATGGAGGCCTGAGTGACGAGGGGAGCACGCGGGACTTGGTGTGAGAAGCATGGTTCTTATCGATGACTTGAGCAAATGAGCAAATATATTGAAAATAATGGGAGCTAAGCTTCTCTGTCAGAGAAAGGAGCTACAAATAATGGAAAGAGGGAAGCTAAAATAAACCCTGTGGAACAATACTGGAATTGGAGGTATCAATGTGAATTTAAGATGTCTTTAAAACCTATAGAGATGTCAAAAATGTCAAGATCATGAAAGAGAAAGAAAGACTGACAACCTGTTCTAGATCGAAGCTAAAGCGATGGTAAATGCCAGGAGAGGTTCCGGTTCAAGATGGCAACGTACGAGGATCCTGAACTCACCTCCTCCCACGGACACACTGAGTCTGCAGCTACATATGGAAAAATTTCCTCTTGAAAAAAACTGAAGGCTGGCTGAGTGACAACTACACGTCAGGCAAACAGGAAGAAAACCACATTAAAGCAGGTAGAAGAGGCTGGGACACAATCTTTCCATAAACCCCACCCTTGGTGCAGTGACCACAACCAGGCAGGAACTCAAAACATGGAGTTTCTCCCCAAGGAGCGAGGAGTTCAAACCCCACGTCGTGCACAGAAACTTTTAAGACATGCTCTTGAGATGAGCACCCAAAACATCTAATTTTGAAAACCAATGGGGCTCGTGTCTGGGGACCCACAAGAAGGTAGATCTGAGAAAGCTCCGTGCCAGGACTCACTGTCCAGGGCCCAGGTCAGAGGCAGCCGATGGAGCCAAGACTTACAGTGAAGGAGGCTCACCCGCTGGGGGCCAGGCCTACAGTTTCACACACACATCTAGAGCCTGCTGGAACACTCGCTGAGTGGGAGACTGGCAGGGTCTTCTCCCGGCTCTCCCTTTGCTCGGGAGCACCAGTATCTCCCAGAAGGGGGCCTTTACATGCGTCTGGTGCCTCGATCTTTGCAGCTGCCACCCAGGGGACATCTCTTGATCACCTGGCTCTGGAGGCCAGGGGAGCTTGCATTCCTGGTCACATGGGACTGTAATAATCAGTGTCTCCCAAAAAGGAGCTCATAGCCCAGTCTGGTGCCCTGATTTTTGTGACTGCTGCCAGGGGACACCACTATATCAACCCACTCTGGTGACCAGTGTCGCTTATGCTCATGGGTCTTCCAAGACTGTAACTGGCAGAGTTCTTAACAGGGCACAGCAAGAGGCAACAGACCCAGGGGCTCCATCTTTCTGTAAAGGAGGCCTATTAGCTAAATATTGTGACTGTGGCCTGAGGGCAGGCTTCTCATTGAACTCCATCTAGGGGCTGACCGTAATCCTTTCCAGAGACCTCAGAGGTTGGGGTGCTATCTTCACGCCACTTGCCACACTCCAGAGCACCAGAATCTCCTGGAGGGGAGCTTTAGAGTGTCTGGGGCACTGGTTTTTGCAGCTTATGCCCAGGGGCGCCCCTTGATCACCTGGCTCTGGTGGCCGGGGTGAGATGGGGGGGGGGGGGGTGCTTGCATTCCTGGGTCCCAGGGAACCGTGGCATTCGGAGAGATGGTTATTGACAGATTACCAACCCTCACAGCACGGCCCAGACAGCAGACTGAGGCACACCCCACCCCCAGTCCTTCTGTGAAGGCAGCCACTCAGCTTGTCCTGGAGCCTCAAACTGAGGTGTAGGCTTCAGGTCTGGGACACATTCAGTGGCCTACGGAGCTACTCTCAAGGAACGCAGGATGTGGACGCCTTCTTTGCGCTCTCCCTCTGTCTTGCTCCCGCTCGAGGTATCTCCCAGAAGGAAGGTCCTACACTCGTCCAGAGCCCTGATTTTTGCAACTGCTGCCCAGCAGACACCTCCAGATGACCTGGCTGTGCCAGCAGGGCTTATGCTTACAGCCCCTCAGGACTGTATGTATTTGCATACTTTTAAAAGCTGCTTCCTGAATTTAAGCCTGAGACCCTCCCCTTTGGGATACTGACAGGTCTCGGCACACCCTCAACTACTGGGAGCTATTAAAAATACACTAGGCTGCTTGGACAAGCAGAGGTTTGAGAGACAACCAAGAGCTGGGGCAGGCTGAACAAAAAGGTTCATCTCCTCCATGAGACCACTCCTCCAAGACTGGGAGAAGTGGCTGTTTCATCTACTGTATAGAAACCAAAACGGACAATCAAGCAAAATGAAGAAACAGAAAACTACGTTCCAAATGAAAGAACAAAATAAAACTTCAGGAAAAAACCTTAACAAAACAAACACAAATGCCACAGGTAATCCTGGATTGGAGAGATTTATAAAGGACACCACTGGGAGAACTGAAATGTGAATAGGGTCTGTGGATTAGATGATAATATTGGATCACTGTTAACTTCTTGATTTTGATGGTTTATTATGGGGTTATGTGGAAGTGCATTCTTATTTTTAGAAAACACATACTTAAATTTATCTACTAAGTGAGTGATTTCACATCATAGCTGCAACTCACTTTTAAACGGTTCAAGAAAAAAAACATGATTTACTGTATCATATATGCTGCTCTGTGTATAATTAAAGAGGAGATAGTGAGAGCATGAACACACACATATGTTTTGAGTGTATTCTTATACACACAGGGTGCCTCTACAAACATAGCAGAATCTGATCTACAGTGGTTTCTTCCACAGACAGACAACAGGGGTCTTGAGAAAAGAATGAGAAAGAGGCTTTTTTACTCTGAAAATCGGAATTTGTTACTATGCAAAATGAAGCAACAAAAAAAAACCCCAGGAAGCTTCAATTCGGTGGTTGCCAAATGCAAATGCCAGGCCGGCTACCTTAGAAGCACCTGGGGAACATTTAAAACTAGATTAACAGGCATCAATTCCAGAAATTCTATTCCTGTGGGTTCAGGGCAGGGCTCAGGTATCAGTAAAATTTCCCTAGCTAATTACAAAACATAGCATGGTTTGAGAATTGCTGCTTTAACCAAATCACCCAAATCTAATCCTCTCTAAACTCAAAACTAAGAAATCCGGGAAATTAGAAACAAATATTTTTGTCCAATGAGAGAATAAGATCATAATCTAAGGAAAGAATACCCCACAAATGAAATCAGAAAATCTGAAACCAGGATTTGAATAGAAGCCAAGTCATACATGTCACTTTACCTTTTCTGCTTCCTTGTTAAGGACCAAAAATAGTATTGAGGCTAAGGTCACCTGAATATTACTTAGTATAGATAACACATTCACAGAACTCTGCATTCTTCAAAAGGAAGATCCTATGTAAATATATAACAAGATTACAAAGCTACTTACTTTTAGTTAAAAAATGAGTATCTCTAAGATTCTAGATCTCAAGTGGAAGGTACGCCAGTGTTCATTTTATTATTGTGTTTTGTATCTCAATATATTAACTATATTCTCTTGTATGATTCAATTGTTACATAAGAATGTAATTTTAAAAAATCAGAACTAACAATCAGACATTTGATCCTTGCATTCAAAAAGAGAAATAAATACAAGAAAAACAAGCCTTACCATGCCAGCAGTACGTATTTATTATTATTATTCATGAATGGTCAAAAGACTTACAAGGCCAATTATTAGTATAACCACACATATGAAATATCACTTAGTGTGACATGGAGTGAAAAGGACAGTTTTATATATATATTAAAAAAATACACATACACACATCCTCTCCTCTCTCAAGTGCTCACCATACACTGCTACAAAAGCAGGAGGCGCGAAGCTGCAGGAGTTCCAATATACATAACACATCGAAAGATCTCGAGCATAAAAACCTCACTTAAGTTGCAAAAATAAAGTATCTTTCTTCAAACATTTTGATCTGAGCTCAGGCAAAGCAAATAATGAACACCAATGATTTTCATACTATTTAACACTTTAAAACATAAAAGGGTCAACAGTTGCAAAAGTCATGAAAATGTAGAGCTTATAGGAATGAACGATGCATTTCATCCAAAAAACAAGTCTACAGCAGATCTGTTTCAACTTGGCTCTCAAATATTTCAGAATCATAATTTACTATACGCAAACAGCGAGTTAAGCCAGAACAAACAAAATGATAAACAGAAAAACTGTTACTTCCGAAACAAGGCATTATTGCCCTTAGTTTCTTTAGACCATTTCACTAGCGCAAGAGCATCATTTACCTGAAAGATCATGAGTCACAATTAAAGAGCACTCATACAAAACTATTTCCTTTTCTTTAAAAAGTGCCACATACTATACTTCTGATTACAAAAAAAAAAAAGACCACACATACACTAATGAAAAACCGTTTGTCTCCATCTCTTGTCAATGAGGAAAGGCCAGAGTGATTCTTTGATTCCAATTCGAAATGGTGTTCGCTGGCCAATGCCCAAGGTCTCTAATTTGGAGCAGTCAAGCTGAGCATTTCTTGGACGTAGTGCTCCTAAGACTGGACTGTCAGTTATCTTTAAAGAAAAATAAACACAAAAAATAAATGAAAAGCCACATATTGAGGTTTTATATTCTCTACTTCATTTTGCCTTCAGTGCAAGAAGTCTGCCGTGATCCCTGGAAAAATAAACAAAAAGTTTGCCACAATCAAGACAATGCTTTTCCTATAAACTTCACCAATCCTCACGGCCTTCTTTATACACGATAACTTAGAGAAAAGTAACAATATAAACTGCCACAAACAAGCAAAGTTCACTCTGATTAGTACCTGAAAAGGAAGTTATCCAACACTTCCAAAGCAACAAGAAAAATGTTACCAATAATACACACTATAGCGATGGATGTGGACTTTCAAAAAGTGAAGAGGTTTTAAATGCCATGTACTTACAGGTCTTAAGTGACTGCTGGGGAGGTTGAAGGCATCGGCAATGGCACATGCCATTTCATACTTAGTCATCTGTTCGTTGCCAGACCAATGAAAGGTTCCCTTAATTGACGGATCCTAACGAGAAAACAAAAGATTCAAAATAGTTTCAACTTTTTGAGTTGAGTAGAATGGCAGCTTTGACAAGAAAGCTAACTTAAAAGGCCCAGGAATTAAAATGTATCCCTCCTTTTGGAATGTATTCCACAAGATATCTAAAATCAAATTCCTAGAAATATTCCCACCTAAACACAAAAAGCAATTCCTAGAATTTGCCTTAAGAATTTTTAAAAATAAAAACATAAATGGCTCTAATTTTATTTAGTGGAAATCCTAAAAATGATTAGATTTTTATGGAAACACAGGTCAATTTAATGAGTATTTCTAATTATCCTAAGAGCTATAACCAAACCTTAACAGAACCATTTTTCAGGATGAGCTAATTAGCTGTAACATCTTTAAATACTGTCATAGCACAAATTTGAAATATATAAGTTTTTATGCATTAAACTTTAGTCATACTATTATTAATAGTCTAAAATAGATCAGTTATTCTAACTTTTCCTTTTATGGATATTCTATTTTAGCTCCAACTTTTTTAAATGCTTAAAATTAAGCCCTATCCAAATATCTCTTAAAAAATTACAAATCAGTCTTAAAGGGGCTGAAATAATAAATTGCTATGTAGATTCTTCTTTGGCATGACGTAGATCTTAAATAGGGTAACTTCTTAAAAGACATCAGAAGATTATTTTGTTACCCAAAAGAAAATATACAAGTTTTCAGTCATTTTGCAATGAAAGAACAACAGAAAGGATCTATAATATTTGGGAAATAAATTCAAACTCAAGAGCGTAATATTTTTCTTACTCATAAATATAGCCTACTATTTGTAAACTACTTTTATTTGGTCTCCTTGTAGTTTTATTTACTTTTTAAGACTGGCACCTAAGCTAACATCTGTTGCCAATCTTTTTTTGTCCTTCTTCTCCCCAAAGCCCCCCAGTACATAGTTGTATATTCTAGCTGTAGGTCCTTCTGGTTGTGCTACGTGGGATGCTGCCTCAGCACAGCTTAATGAGCAGTGCTAGGTCCCTGCCCAGGATCTGAACCAGTGAAACCCTGGGCCGAAGTGGAGCACGCAAACAACCACTCAGCCATGGGGCCGGCCCCTCCTTGTAGTTTTAAAAACAACACTTTAACTTTCACTCATTAACAGGATTTTTACTCATTCACAGAATTTTTACTAAAATGGAAGTTAGGAACTCATCCTTCCACAGGTTCTCACCAGCATTCTCTTCTCGGCTAACTGACGACACACGGTGGCTACATCTTTGACATGGGTGGGGAACCTCTGCTGCCAGTGGTCCATGTTCGCTGACTTGTTGCTGAACTGCACTTTATCAAACATAATAGTCACGGCACTTTCTTCAAGCTTCTCAACTTCTCCATACAGAACAGGAATTCTCAAAACAGCAGCTCCTAGAGATTAATAAAAGCAGATAGTATTTCAAAGCCGATGGGTTCTTAAGTCTTGATGTAAGATGAAAGTATGTGGATTTAAACACCACAAAGGTAGAAAACTTGCAAGATGCCAAAATGACATTAAGGAACACTTAACAAATGTGTTCCTGAATATTTTTAAATTTCTCTGTCATTTGGGGTATTTTTACATATAATTTCTTCATTATTATGAACATTAAAAATAAAACTTAACATGACAACTGAATGCAATGAGAGAACCTTAACTGGATCCTAGATTAAAAAATAGAATGTAGGGGCCAGCCCAGTGGCACAGTGGTTAAGTTCGCATTTCTGCTTCAGCAGCCCGGGGTTCACCAGTTCAGATCCTGGGTGTGGATCTATACACTGCTTGTCAAGCCACGCTGTGGCGGGCATCCCACATATAGAGTAGAGGAAGATGGGCATGGATGTTTGCTCAGGGCCAGTTTTCCTCAGCAAAAAGAGAAAGGTTGGCAGCAGATGTTAGCTCAGGGCTAATCTTCCTCAAAATAAACAATACGTGAAAAAAAAGGAAAATAAAATAAACTTAACTTCTTGGACAACTGTATACAGACAGGTATTCAAGGATGATCCTGCAGGATAATTTATAATAAAAAAATCCTGAAAAACTAGATGCCTGTGAGTATGATGTGTATGATAGGGGATGCTTCTCAAGGATGCAGTACAGTCTAAGGCAATAGTTTCAGTGTATAGGATCATTAAATCAAGTACTATGCAGCCATTGACATGGAAAAGGTATCTGAGAGACGGCTCCATTATGCACTGAAATGCAAGTGTGTGTGTGGGGGGGAAACAGGTTACAAAACAACATGCACAAAAATACTTGCATAGATGACCACATTTGGTACCCCTCTCTCTGATGTAGCATAATAGTAAGAGAATTTCCACTCTTTACAATTATTAATTTTTTCTTTCAAGAAGGGTGCACTTCTCATAATCAGCACATACATATGTATAAGTACATTTACACAGAAACACACATATGAAAAAAGAAAAACCATACAAATAGAATACCTCAATCTAAGAGAAATGATATTAATCTGTTTTTTGAAAGTAGACTACAAAAATTTGTACTATATGATTTGTTTTCTATACACAATGATATTTATGTACATACTGATACTGGAAAAAGTCTAGAAGGATTCATAAATTCTTTAGGATTTCTAAAATTTATTTTTCTTTTTTATTAACTACGTTCTCTAATTTTTCTCCAATGATTTGTGTTTCTTGTTTTTAAAAATTAAAAACGTACATATATATCACAAAAAGGAATCCTCAAAACAGTGAGGGGCTAACGAGACTGTCTTACCTAAATTGTTCTCCAGGACGGCCTTTTCTCCTTCTAATTTGGTTTTGCCATACAGGTTTAGGGGACTTGGTATGTCTTCCTCCCTATAAGGTGGATTTGTTCCATCAAATACATAATCTGAGCTAATGTAGATTAGAAATGCTCCGATTGCAGCTACAAAAAAAATGAGCAAGAAAAATACCTATTATTACAGGACATTACTCTTTACTGGAATTTTTAATGGCTTATTCATCGTATATAAAATCAAATCTCTTATATGTGATCTATAAACCTTTAATCTTCACAAACTCGGCAATCATTTAATATTTAATGAAGATTTTATAAAGTCACATTACCTGCTTCCTTTGCTAAATTCCGAGAAGCATCCACATTAAGTCGAGAAGCAGCATCCGGCTGATTTTCCACCACATCGGGCCTTCTCTCTGCTGCACAATGCACTATGACGTGGGGCTGGAAGCGAAGCATTGACGCATTTTTAACCCAAAAAGGAATAAAATAGAGGAACCACAGTTTTCCAACAGTAAATTAATGTATAGAAAAATGTTTGTTAAATCAACATTCTTTCCACTAAAGTATCAATGTAATTTTTTAATGTAATTTTGTCACAATTCCCTTTCCCAAGGTTCAAACTTCCTCAAAAATATATACAGGCCCTGAAACGGGAAGAGTAATTTAGTAGTCCCTAGGCAAAACCGGACAAAACTCTGTATCATCAACTGTATTTCTAAATCAAAATAAGCTTCGTCCCCTAATTTGGATGAGAGAAAAGAGCTATCATTTATATAATTAATATGACCTAATATTTGATAAATCTATGTTAAAGGAAGAGGAGTATTTTGAAATTAAATTCAAAAATTCCAATCTCTTACACCAACTATTTAAAGAAAACCAACTATCTATAAAAATTATATTTCCAGTTGAGTATTTGTATGCCACTTATATGCTAAGCACTGTGTGAGCAGCAAGGATTTCATAATTTTGTGGAAAAGACAGATACGTAAAGAGACTGTTTCAATATAATGTGACAGATGTCAAGAGACAAATGCAGAAGGTCCTTTGTCAAGCAGCACCTACTTCCCAGAGGAGCTGAGCAGAGGTAAAGCCTGGGATGACCACTCAGGCAGGGCTGGTACACCCACATACGAAACTTCCTCCTTCGCAACTGCTTGAGGCAGCATGATCTCAGAGTTGTCTGCAAACTTAATGTGCATAATCTGAGGTGCTTCTTAAAATGTAGACTCCTGGGCTCCACCACAGATGGACCGACTTAAACTCTCTGGGAGGGAGGGCTAAGCACCAGTCTCCCGAGTGATTCTCATGCAGGTGTTCACTGGACCATATTCTTAAAAAGGACTCTCGATCTGATCAGAGGTGCAACAGAACGTAAATTTTTCTCTAACTTTTCTGCGACCACGGCCAACAAGTTATTTAACCTCTCTGAGCCTCTGTCATCTCTAAAATGGAAATGATAATATCTATTTTGCAGTGTTGTAAGGTTTACAGATAACACTAAAAAGGCATTTGCACAGAAAGTGGTACTTAGAAGAGCACTTTAAAAACATGAGCTTTTGATAAAATGCTTAATATTTTTGTCTTTTTTCAACTTACGTCACAATCTAATCATTTTAAGGATTGCATATGCTTTGTAATGCTAAAAAAATAAGTCAGTTCACCATCTATTGTTATTGCTTTACAGGTTAGAGCTTAAGTATAGTAACTTCCTTGAGAGCAAGAACATTTTCTGTGTCATCCAGACAATTTTTAATGCAGTTTACCTCTGGGTTAAAGCGCACAGACTAGACCATACCTGAACGTCATGAACAATGTGACGAACCGCATCGGAGTCCAACAGATTGACCTGCTCAAACTTTGGCCTCGCTCTTCTATAACCACAGCCAAAGGCATGCCAATTATTCTGCTTAAATTCTCTGTACACAGCTCTGCCAAGAAGCCCAGTGGCACCAGTGACCAGAACCCGCCTGCTGGGGATGTTCACTTCCTCCTAAAGGGTGAAAGGGGAAGAAAAGGATTATTCACTTTGAAAATATTCTCTCCACGAAATTAGTCAACATAATCGTCCACTAAATACTTCAAAGTCTAAGCAGTTTACTTCGTGTCCGAAATCTATAAGCCAATCCATAAGTTATGAAAAAGATTAATCAAACTACTTCACAAAAATTTTAATCATCTTACCCAAGAAAAAGAACCTAAGACGATACTGCAGAGAACTACCTAGACTAACAGATTTAGATTTCCTGTGTTAATGATGAAAAGTCTTATTTTGACGAGCAATGATGTCCAAATGAGCAATAAATAGCAATTTTAATAATGTTCTTCAGTTTATTAAAATGCACAGTTTTAAGCTTATTTTATGGCCTGATTAAATATTTGCTATTTTATTTGGTCAGTAAATCTACAAGTTGACATTTTTGGTCTTCAGTTTTTAATCCCATGTTTTCTTCCAAATTTCACTGAGATAACATATTTTGCTAGGCTGAGTTAGAATTCCTATTTCATAGGAATTTATGTGGAGAAAAAATAATTTTGGTCCTTACAGCACTAAAATCTTTCTAAGTTTAACCGAATTAGTAAATGTTCCCGAGTAAATTCTCAATTGACCTATGAAGACCAGTTAAAACTAATAAATACAGATAGAAGAAAAAGAAAAAAACCTAAAGTATTTTAAACTGACTCGTGTTGCTACCGTAAAAACGAAAAAAGTCCTTAAACACTGAAATTGAAAGAAACTACTATTTAGGAAACATTTCAAGTTCTGTGTTTCCAAGGCATAGTTTAAAAAATTCCCCTTCTTCCCAAGACAGTTACACCAAATTTTCTCCCAGACTCTTGAATAGAGTCAACATTTACTATTAAAAAACAAAAAGTTTTATTATATTTCATCAACTTGAGGCTTTTTGATTTCCAATGTGTTACAGTCACCTAACTCTGAGCTGTCAAAAACTGTAAACAGGCATACAATAACTACAGACCTATCTTTCTTTGCCCTTAGGTCAGCTGAATAACTGTGCAGACTATGCATTTGAAAAAGAAGAAAAGGCCACCTAAATCAGGTATTTCTATTGTAGGAAAAATCTGAAATAAAATGGCTGACAGAGACAGTATAAAGGCTAATACTTAACGATATCTTTTCTTTAGTTCAACCAATTTCAACACATTTTAATGGGTGAAGAAAAATTCATCTAGGTTTTACATGGCAACCCTTGACTCTAGGCCAATTGATCTCAGAAAACAAAGATTTCAGCCTGCAAAATATTTTCTTTGAATTCTGGCAAGAAGACAGCTATACAAAGACTGAATTATAAAGAGCAGAAAACAAGCCCAAGTCTAGTAGAGATACAATCAGAAAACAATTCACACAGGATAAATACCATCAAGATCCCTCGGAAAATACTGTAAGAGAGCCATGATTTGGTTTCTTCTGAGTTTTTCACTTTTTACTTCACTCTAAAGAAGCAAAGGAATAGACAGCAGTTCTTAAGTCACTGGTTCTCAGGCTTCAGCGAGGATCAGAATCACCTGGAAGGCTTTCGGACCAGGTGGTCTAGGGTAAGGGCTGATGAAAGCTCCCAGGTGGTGCTGATGATGGTGATTTGGGAACTCCGCTTTGAGAGCTGTAACCTTGAACTCCGGGAAAGTCCAAAGCTTTCTTAAAGATAAATTTCTCTTATACAAACAAGCCAATAAATTGCCATTTACCCTTCTAGAAACAACATCTTTCCCCCTCAAAAAGGAAAACTAGAAAAACAAGTCAAAGAACAAGCATTAGGCAATCTACAAAGGTTACTAAACATAAATTAAGATCTGTGTCCCTTGTTGATTCTGTGAGGCACACTTTTTCCTCATTTTAAGATCTCTGTTAAACGAATGAAATAGAGATGCATCTTATGAATGCATCAGTTTGGTGGTGTTGCTTACTTTTTAGTGCAGCTTAGAATAAGAGTCCAGATGATCTTATAATCAAGAGCATCTTAGATTTGATGAAATACAGTATTAAGTTAAAGCACAGCAAGGGTCTTAGGGACTATAATACACTTAATTTAAAAAAAAAGGATAGCAGTTGTATGGAGAAAATACAAGCTTACATCCTTACACCCTGGGGTAATTTGTAAGGTCCCTAGAAGAAAATATGAAACAGTTCATGGTACCCAGTGGTCAGACGTCATTGCTCAAAATTTTCTTTAAAAGAGCAGAGATCTGAAGTGCAAGCATTTTCTGAAACAGAAATGATTCTGCACAATTGTATATTTGTTACATAAACCTACCCCATACCTTTGATCATAAGAATAGCCTCGTTAGGCAGGGCAGATATTATTTCCAAAGTGAGGAACGTGAAGTCTAGAGATGTTAAAGGTTGTGCCCACAGTAACAGGGGAAAAGTTGGGAGCAGAACTTGGGTCTTCTTCCTTCTGTGGTCAGCCAAATACATACTGAGCTGTCTCAAGCCTTTGGACTTCTATTTGGTTTCATGATGATTAAGTTTTATCTGCTCTGCCACAAACTGTGGTACTGAGAAGTTACTCCATCCCTACCCATCTAATTCCTCATTGGTAAAATGAGGCCTCTGGGCGCGATGAGTAAGGGTCTTCCAGCTTTACAGCTCTACAACTCGAACATTTTCCATGTTATCCTTACCACAAAGGGGTCTGAATAGAGTGAAAGGAGCTTCATTTACTTAAAGAACTTTTCCTCTTTTCCCATAATTCCCTCTAGACTCATTGACACCTTCTGTCACCAGTACAGGAGCCAAAACAAGATTTTTCTCATTTGGATTGCAAGTTTATTGGTGGTTGGCAAATAAAATAGGTGCATCACTCTGAAATTAAAAGATGCCAAACAAAAATAACTCTTCTATTTTTGAGTTTCTATATATAAACCAAACTCTACCTGAAGCTTTTTAAAGCGCACTATTTTGATTTTTTTTCTTTTTAAAAGAAATATTCCTCTAAAAATTACTTTGGCCCATTACTCTATAAATTATTTTAGTCCTGCAAAACAGGAATGTCCAAACACCTCAAGGGACTCAGAAAGGAATAAAAAGCTGTCTAGTTAGCCCAAACCACAACAGAAGAGCTGAAAATATTCTGTCTGCCTGAAAAGCCTACTTTCTCAATTTTTATTATCTTACGGGTTATCTCAAACGTCAGTTTAAGTTACTCTATTGTATATAAACTCTCAGATGTACAGAATTCAATAACTTCAGGTGACCAGATTTATAGACACTCAAAGAATTCTTGAAAAATTAAATACATATAAATGTAGAGCTATTGCTCTTATTATGCTATGTAATTAAATAATACCAAATTGTATAGGTAATCAGAGATAAACAGCTCTTTCAAAATGGTCCAAAGAGGACTCTGGGACAGAGACTTCTACTTTAGCACACTTGCATCAACTTCTACTAAAAATGCCCGAGGAAAAGTAAAGAGCAAAACATTACTAATATCTAAAGAGGGATCTTCCTAAGTTTCAGTGATAAGGATAATAATACTTTGCTATTTTTAGAACCTCTTAAATTTGGCAAAGCTCCCTATTCATTTCCTTAATTGGTCCTCACAACATAGCCCTAGAGGCAGGTCTTTCACCAGACATTCCTAGACTTTTAATAAACGTTTTATAATCCCATTACTACCTAGGACACTGGTCTAACTCCTACTGTCACCATCTTGTACCCCAGAGCCAGTATTACTAACAGAAACCATTACAGTTTGCTTTCTCCAACATCAACTATAAGACAGCCCTCATTCTCACGAGTGAATTTTAATTTTACAGTTTTTGAGAGCAGCAAATATGTGCCAAGCTTTTGGTTGTACCTTTTTTTTGGTGAGGAATATTGGCCCTGACCTAACATCTGTGCCAATCTTCCTCTATTTTATGTGGGGTGCCGCCACGGCGCGGCTTGGTAAGCCATGCGTAGCTCCGCCCGTGGGATGGGATCCGGATCTGTGAACCCAGAAGCGGAGGGCGCGAACTTAACCACTAAGCCACCAGCCTGGCCCCTAGTTGTTACCATTTTTAATGTAGGAAAACCCATTTCTATTAGTCTACTAAACTCCTACTGTGAAAACTGATTAAGCTTTATACATGCATATATACATACATGTATGCATAAACACTAATGTAAACAATATGTAACATTATTTAGTTCTGTTTGGGGTACATAGGAAAAATACGGAGGTTTAACAGCCCATCCATCCTAACTTTACCCCCAAAATCCCAAAGCGACTTGAAAACACTAAATGTAGCACATGTTGGAGGCGTAAAAATTTTGCATTATCAAAAACATCCGTCTCCTATATCCTCTCGTATAACCATAAGACATATTGGCCTGGGCATTAACAGTCTTCCAATCCCCAGTGCTAGATATACTCTCTGGACTGATGCACGCTGGGGGCCTGGAACAGAGAACACAGAGAATGAGGGGAGAGGAAGGGGACTGCCAGGGATGGCTCTCGCGAAGACAATCATCCCCTTCCTTTCTGCAACCTCCGTAGTGGTTCAAAGCCTGCGATAGTCAAACAGACCTGTATTAGAATCCCGGCTCCAACCTTACTGAATGAACTTGAGCCAAGGACTGACCCTCTAAACCTCAATTTTCTCATCTGTAAAATGGAGCAAAATCAGATCTCGGAGTTATAAGGATTAAAATAATGCATGTAAAGTGCGTAACATAGTGCCTTGTATAAACTAAGCGTTCAATAAGCTGCCACCTCCAATACTGTCATTATTTCTGGAAAGCCACCTTTCCCCTTCTTTCTCAGAGATACGAACTGCTAAGATCGAGGGTATCAAAGAAATTAAGAAAATTAAAACCGCAACAGCTCTGAAAACCCCTCTTCGTTCCTAGCCAGGGAGACCGAAGATTCGGAAGTGAAATTCGACCTACTCATTTCCTGCCGCAGCACTGATACAGAAAACCCTGACGCGCGTGCCAACTTGGTGGCACCGCCCTCGCGGTGGTAAACAATCTCGGCGGCACCGCCCTCGCCTCCCGGGGCTGGAAAGGCGGCGCCGAGGCGAAATCAGGGCGGCGGCCCCGCCTGGAAAACCACTCGAGTCCCCGAGACGCGGCTCATCTCCCTCTGCGCCCCCGAGTCCCAGACCCCCGGGCCGATTCTTTCACCTCTTCGAGCCGGCAGTTCCCGGGAACAAAGTGGATGGCGAGCTCCTTCTCCCGTCCCACCATGCCCGCCGCCTTCGCGCCGCCGCTGCGGCGACCGCCACTATCTCCAGCCCAGATCGCTAGCGGCCGCGGCTGCGTCGCCCTGGGCCCGCCTCCCCAGTGCGGGCCAGCCCCCGCTCGCCGCTTCCGGCTTCCGCCGCCAAGGCCGCGCGCGCTGACTGGCTACGCTGCGCCGACCCTCCCCCTAGGAAGGGCGCGAGAGCGTCTGGACGTTCCCGGCCCACGCGCCAATTCTTAAAGGGCTACGCAAAACAAAGGCCTTGGTTTTAAGCGGTGAGCGCGAGTTTTGTTTGGGGCGATTTGCGTATGCGCTTTTTTCCTTCTTGAGTAGGGAAGGCTTGAATCGGATTGCCTGGAGTTTCCATTTTGCAGACTGTGAGCAGTGTGCATGAGAATCAACTGGGCATGGAATATATAAAGTGGGATAAAATATTTTAAAGTCATGGGCAGGGAGGCGAGAGGGAGGAAGCACAGTGGACATACAGTATCTAGAGAGATTTAGAAAGAGACATGGAATAAAAATAAAAGTGTTGGTATCTGAGTCATTAACACCTCAAGAACTCATTTGTCTTTCTGGGATGCTAAAAAAAACAGTACGTGTGAAATTCCAAAGATGTCAAACTATTTTTTACTTAGTTAAAAAAGGTGGGAGGGATGAATTTTTTGGGTGCCTCTTCGAAATGCAGACTCTCGGACTGTCCCAATAACTACAGAACGAGGATCTGTGGTATTCCAGCCTGGGACTCCAGAGTTACTAGATTTACCAAGAGTTTAGGGCACCCTTAGAGAAGCACAGCCTTAGGGCTGCAGAGCTGGGATACAAGCGCCCCTCCTCTGCAACCACCGAAAATTAAAGAAGGAACCAAGGGGAGAGAGGACTGCTGGACCTTCTGCTGCCTGTAACGCGTTTTAAGTGACAAATCAGAAACAGCCCTAAGTGTTGAGCCTGCCCTAGCACGCAAGTGATTTCCCTTCCAGTTCAAAACCTCTTAAGTCCCACGCCAGCCGGGATGCCTATGAAATTTACTCAGAAAAAAACTCCAGCATAGACCTTGTAGGGTTCGCCAACTTTTCACCGAAGTGAGGGTCCTTGCCAGACACAGAATAGCAAGACCTCCAAGTCGCCCACAGACGAAACTACTGCTTGGTTCTTTCTAAAAGGCTTTATTTTCCTAATCCTTTTTGGTTTAATCTTACAGCTAAAGAACAGGCAGCCTTTTAAAAAAGTTTTTCCACGTCTGAGAACCGTGACTTTCCTTTCTACCCAATCCCCAACAAAAACTCATTTCCTTCTTTGTGTAAATAGAAAGTTTCTTTGGAACAGAAACGGAAGAGACCCTGAGGCCCCTCACTTCGATTTTTGTTTTAATCCAGGCTGTTACTGTTAATCGGTCTAGCATTATTTACGAAGTCGTTGAAAGGACTGTCCCAGCACTGAACGTGCATCATCAGGAAACAAAGAATAGGCATTTGTGGATTCGGGGAAGCAGATTCAAGATCCTCTTAATCCTCGCCCCTTTGAAAACTGGGAATTTTTTTTTTTTTAAGTTTCTAGTTGCAAGGTGTGATACAATCTAATCTTTCTGGGGAAAAAAAATTAAGTGTTCAACGTGAAGAATATTCAAGGATATGCACATGCGATTAGCATTTTGCTTCTCACAGCAGCCTTGTCTAGGGTGAGGAACAAAAGAGTTTACTTGCCCACATTTGAGACGCTGGTTCGATACTTGCCAGGTAAAACTGGGGGATGGTTCTAGGGGCATATGTTCGTGTTATGACTTTTAATCATTCTCTTTAGAGATGAAAGTTTCTACGTGAATAAAAACGCCACCGTTATACAGACAATATCCAAGTTCGTGTGGTGGCTAAGACTGTAAGATTAAAGAGAGCAACCTGGAGCTAAAAGTTACATTAGCAGATTCAATTCATGCCAAGACAAAGAAAGGCTGGAGAACACAACTATGGATAAAATCCTCATTTATAGAGAAACTTCGCTTGCATCATTGCATATAATCTGGTAAACGAAACTGCTGTTCTGTTTTGCATTTTATTTTTGTCACTTAATGAGACTTAGCTGAGCTCTCCGTAACCTGGTTCTCAGGGTCAGTAATTAAAGTCGGTTTATTCTTGCATGTCCTAAGGTTCTGTGTTTTAAGGAAATGAATGACATCTTTTCTATTTTTTTTTACACAGCCCTCCGGCTTTTACCAAATGTTTAGTGGGATGCTTTTAAAGCAACTCCAACTCCAGAATACTTTATTTCTTGAATAGTTAGCTCTTACCTGTTCCATGTCCTCCGGCATTTCAGGCATGATTCCAAAATTCTCTCAGGAAAACAGATTTGGGTTGAGTCTCAGCCTCTGCCTCCCCTGGCTGGGTCTTTGTTCTGCCCCACAGAGCGCAGGCACGCGAAAACGTGAGCCGCAGCTTCACTCGACCTTTTAAATTAGCATTTTGATTCCTATCCCAGAATCTCGTGCAGTTTTTCACATTGCAGTAAACTGGCAGCTGATTCCCCGTGGCGGTCTCGAAAATACCCAATGAGAAGTTTCATATTTAATTGCCACCCAAGTGAGGGTTCATTCGCAAAACCATTAGGAAAACCAACTTACTTAAAAGGAAACTTTCTTGAAGACTTGTTGCAATTTTCTCTTGCAGAAGAAAAGCAAGACCTAGCAGCTGGGAAGCACGCAGACCGTGCAATTGGTTCCTGTTCTGAAATATTGTATCCTTATGCCTTCTTACAACAGAATCTATTTAGTAAATTCCGCCAGCTCTTGCCCCCATCCCCCAGTGCTTTCTAATTAACTATTTCAAAGGACGCTAAAAGGCACTGGTGGTAACAGCAGGCTGAAATGAAAATGCCACAGGTCATTTCTATTAACATTGTCCTGCCCTCTGTTTGAGAAAAACCTTAGGTTTGGCCAAGCGTTAAGGACTTGTAGATCAGGGATTCCCAAACTTGCCTGCACCACAGAACGTACGAAACAAAATCGTTCTGTAGGAGTGGAGCCCAGCAATCTTATCGTTAACAATTTCAAAAGTGATGAATATGCTCTGTTAAATTTTGAACCACTGTTTTGGATTATGGCTCTATAACAATTTAAGAACAACAACAAAATTGCCATTCAGATGGGGGGGGGCGGGGGAAGGAATCACTTAACTCTACAGGCTAGCCACTTAGAGAACACAGCACATGTTAAACTCTGTGAGCCATGCAGAGGTAGTGAAGTAATGAACTATACAATTTTTAAAAATTGATAAAATTCATCAAAATTAAAAACTGTTCATCATAAGACAATATTAAAAAATGAATAAGCAGAACAGAAAAAATACTCCAGATACATACATCTGAAAAGGACTTAAATTCAGAATATTTAAAGAACTCCTACAACTCAATAATTTTTAAAGAGTCACTTTAAAAATGAACATAAGTTTTTGGGGTTTTTTTTTTTGAGGAAGATTAGCCCTGAGCTAACACCTTCTGCCAATCCTACTCTTTTTTGCTGAGGAAGACTGGCCCTGAGCTAACATCTGTGCCCATCTGCCTCTACTTTATATGTGGGACACCTACCACAGCATGGCTTGCCAAGCAGTGCCATGTCCGCACCCAGGATCCAAACCAGCGAACCCCGGGCCACCGAAGCAGAACATGCGCACTTAACGCCTGTGCCACTGGGTTGGCCCCCTGAACTTGAGGTTTAAACAGATATTGCACAAAGTGAAGACATAGTATGGCCAATAATCACACACAAAGATGCTCAACATCAAAGAAATGCAAATTAAAATCTCACTGAGATACCTTTACATACTTAACAGAATGGCTAAAATTAAAAAGACTGATAATATCATATGTAAACAAGCATTTTGAGCAGCTAGAATGCTCATTCATTGCTAGTGGGAGAATGACATAAAAGAACCACTTTAGGAAACTGTTTGGCAGTTTATTATAAAGTTAAATGTATACCTACCCCACAGCCCAGTAATTCCACTTTTAGGTGCTTATCCAACAGAAATGAAAGCATATATGTACACAGACTTGGACAAGAATATTCATAGCAGCTTAATTCAAAATAACCTAAAACTGGAAACACCCATCAAAGGATGAATGGATAGACAAATTGTGGTATATCCATACTGTGGACTATTACTCAACTATACAAAGAAATGAACTATATGAATGAATCTCAGAATTGTTATGCTGAGTGAAGTTAGAGACATGTGAAATGCTAAAACAGGTGAGACTAATTTATAGCGAAAGACATGATCTTGCCTTGAGGGAAGGATAGGGATTGACTGTGAAGGCCATAAAAAACTTTCTTAGGTGATGGACATGTTTTATATCTTGATAGGGGTGTGGGTAACATGGATATGTGCATTTATCAAAATTCATCAAACTGTAACAGTGAAGATCTGTTCATTTCACTGTCTGTATTACTGTATGGAATTTATACCCCAATTTTAAAACAATAATACAGAAGGTTAATGGGGTGGGGGCACAAAAGTTCAATTGAAGGGTGAGGAAAGAATGGGAAATAAAGACATCAACCCCGATATTGTAGAAAACTCTTCCAAGCACTTTTTCTATGAAGAGGGAAAATAAAGGCATGGAAGCTGGAGGGTAATATAAGATCCAAGGATTGTGAATTTTGTTGTGTTTTTTGTTTTGGTTTAGACAGTCCGATACTAGACCATGTTCGTGTGGTAGTGGGAATGGTCCGCTAACTAATGGAAGGTGGTAGGGCTTGAATTGTATCCCCTAAAATGATATGTTGAATGTGACCTCACCTCACAATGTGACCTTATTTGGAAATAGGGTTGCTGACCAACTCACACTTACGAGGGCACAGATGTATAATTCTCCAGAAGGGAGGGACACTGCAAGTCTCATGGCGCAGGCTGACGTCAATGGAGTGGAGAAGTATAATCCTCCCCTTGGAATGTGTATTTTGAACACTAATACAAGGTGCTACGAGAAGTAGAGGCAGAGGATATGAGTACAGTACACATGCATTCATGCTCACAAATTCGTTCGGGGAAGGATGAGGAAGTCCTCGTCGAGCTGCTTCGGTTTTCAGTTGTGTGTGTGGTAATGC